TGCCCGGGCGTTTTGCAAGGCCAGGTTGGATGGGGCCTTGAGTAGCCTGATCTAGTTGAGAGGCGTCCCTGCCCATGACAGGGAGGTTGTACTAGATGATCTCTAAGGTCTCTTCCAGCCTAGGCCATTCTATGATTCCTATAGAGTTAATATTCAAAGAGACCATATTTTCTCTCAGGAGCACTAAGCTATGTGCATATAAAGTGTTTATGTTCAAAATGTTCTTAGAGACACAGAAGGCTTGAGGCTCTCACACACTGCAACTGGAGATCCAGAATTACCACATTCACTCTATCCCTGAGTTTCATTTATACCCACACCACTAATAAAGACAAGAAGTTCAAGTAAGGTCTTGTTTCAAGGGATGAGGAAATATTCTTCCTCAAGAAGAACGTTTACCTCAAGCATCAGCTTGCCTGAGCCAACTTTCTATGGCTGAGGACCACAGAACGTGAGTCCTACTGGCAGCTGAAGGTTTTTGCTGTGAAGGCTGTGCTCTGTTTTAGTGCTCCTCTCTTTCCCGAAGAAGAGGATTTGTACTGAAGAAGTTTGGAAACATGCTTTAACTGATGTATGAATAGAAAAAATCAGTTTTAAGTTTGGGGGATATCAGTTTAGAGGAAAATACCTTTTCAGTCCCAGAAAAAAAAATGCTACTGGAGATGAGTCATCACTAGCACAACAGGAGTTCTACTTCAAAAAAAAAAAAAAAGCTTAAATTCATCTGCTTTTACTGGAGCACGTTTTCTTTCTCAATATTAAGAGTTTTCTAATTAATTTTAGCGTCGTTTCAAAAAGAAGCAACGTAGCAAAGAAAAGGGCAGCCTACAATAATTTAGGAAGACAGCTGCTTTTATTTCCACTATGAAGTTTTCTTCAAGGGAAAAAAAACCCTGTATTATAATGTGGGTGAATTGCTTAGTATCTCAAACTAACCTTTGCTTGCCCTTCCCTTTCTTTCCTCCTCCTTTGTGAGATTCTTCAGGCATCTTCCTGTAGCAAGAGGGGAAATTGTTCTGTATAGAGGAGTACAAGCCATTCAAGGTTAGATACACAGCCAGCTTCACCCCGGCTCCCAGACCTCTGCAATTATGGAGCTGCTTAGAGCGGAGGTAACAGCAGAGCTGGAGAAGCTGCACCAAAAAGTATAGAGGAGAAAGTGTATCTGACACAGAAAAGGAAAAGTTACATTTGCTCTGCCATTGTCTTTCGGGAAGCAAAAAAGTCAGGCTCTGCACGCTGACAGCATTGCCAGCTGCACGGCTTTGGAGTGTTTTGCCGAAACTACTTGATATCTCAGACTACATATACATGGCCGAGGTATCCAGGATGGAGACCATGTATTATTTGGATGCTCACAACCCCTGATGACAGTCACTGTGCATGTTTCTAGACTTAGCTTCTTGTGTTACTGCACATTTCCCTCAGTGCTACCTGCAAGCACCGTTTTCCTCTGTTTCCCATATGAGCAGTTAGCTCAAGATTTAGCACCGTGGCTCACACTGCAGTGCTGAAAACGCTTTTTTTCCTTGCCACCTTACAAAAGGGATGAAGACAATACAAAAGGATACGGACAAATCAACACATCAGTCTCATTGTAGCAGGTTCATGAGAACAGCAACTTCACACAACCCCTTTCAGTACCAGTCATCTGTATAAAAACGTGAAGGTAAACCATTCCAATCAGAGTCTTGATATACTTAATGTACTACCAGTAGAACCCAAAAGCACTGCTTAAAATTCAAACCTTTTGTCAATCATGTGTGTTTACAGGTATCTTGCTGGATGCTCACATCTGAGATGCTGCACACAGTCAGAGCACAGGGTGCAGGTGGCAAGGTTGGAGTCTGGCAGGGTACTAGAGCTACAAAGGATACACTTGGAGTAGCTCTGTTGGTTTTGGATACAACAGGCCTGCTGGGACCCTAAAAACCTATTTTGAACTCTAGTCAATCTGTTAATCTGTCCCAGGGAATGAAATGCTTCACTGCTTACCACTGCAAGATAGGACTGAACCGTGCTTGGGGTTTAAATTACCATATTTAATTAAATGTAAGATACTGAAATGCTTGGGGAAATCCACTAATGAAATTTCACTGACTGCAAAGCATAGCCCTTGTCATTGTCCCCTTCTACTGTCCAATCTTCAATGCATTAAAAGGCATTCTTCAGAAAATAAATATTTTTACTGTTACAGGAAACATGCCTTACAATTCGAAATGCTTTATTTTTCTCCTTTTTGGTGGTACTGCCAATATTAGTGGTTTATTAACAAACTTCAATGGCCACAGATTTTCTGATTTATGCTCATGAGTAAATGATCTTAAAATTCCTCTCAGGGACAAGAGAGCACAATGAAAGGTGCCTGGGAACATGAGAACAGTAGAAAAAGCAAGTTTCACCCTCTGACTTTTTCGGTTAATAAAGTATAAATGGCCAGGAACCGAAGTTATGGAAATTGATATATCTGTAACCAGTCGTCAGCTGCTACTAGCTTGCATGGTTAAGATGCTGAGCTACCCATGTATAGCTGTCAGAGTTTGTCACAATATCTCTATTGAATCTCTCTCTCACCCACTAAAACAATTTCAGTCTTTAGCTGCATATTGAAATTAGACATGCCTCAGGGCAATCTCTCAAAATCTATCTGTATAAAATCCATCCGCCTTAGAAACACTAGGACAAATCCATAATCCAAGTTCAAGTCCAGAGGGAACTTTAAGTTGTATGTCATTAGAAGATTGTGCTTCAGGGTGGTTTCAGGAATTGGTCTTACTCCATAAAAGCCCTCACAGTTTGGGATTTAAAAGTCACTTCCTTCCTGACGACCATACTGAGATAGTCAGCACATACACTAAAGTTTGCAGGTGGGAGTGCCCTCAGCATAAATTAAAAGGACATCTCTGTAACAGTCAGCTGCTGCGGAGCTCATAGAGTGCTACCAAGCAACGTACTGGATATCGCGTTTCCCTAGTTTTGGAAGCAAGGAGGAAAAACACACAGTAGTTCATAACTCTTACAGCACATCTAAACACCTTGCACATGAAAATATTTGACCAGCTCTTCACATTCTTTTCTGTCTCTTTCAGGTTGCTGCAGAGCTGGCTGCTAAGAGAGAGATGGCTTTGCTGAAAAAAGCCCCAAAGGGGAAGATCGAAAAAGAAGGGAAAGAAAAAACAAAAGCAAAAACACCACAGAAATCTGGGGATAATGTAAGGTTTCCTGCAGTAAAAATAGTTACCGGTTCATGAGACCGGAGCCTTCGACCAGCCTGTTCAGTCCCATGTGGGCAGAGGCTATTAGTTTATACTGGAGTGGTCACCAAGGCTTCAGGCTTGGGTTCAACAGCCAGAGGAACTGCCTGAGGCGGGTGCCTCTCAGCCTTTCAATCACCTTGATGATTCTGGGGAACTGAATTTTACCTCTCATATTTTAGGAAAGACCATTTGCATGGCCATGACTCAGCTGAGTGGGAAGTACCGATGTAGGTGCAGACTGTCAGAGACATAGATGAAGGGAAAAATACACTTTATTGCTTTAATATTGTTACCAAGACAGTGTGCAGGCACTTTTCAAAGCACTGTTGCTTTTGTGTGTGTGTGTGTGCAGAAAACAAAATGGTACCCAGCTACCTCAGCAAGCATTTCCACTTGCAGTGTTGGGTACAGAGAAGTTAGTCACTGCCATCCCTTCATACAAGAAACAGGAAACAAGAACCTTAGTCTCAGATACCTACATCAGAGCTTGCATGCATTTCAGCATAATTTATAGGTACCATTCCACACAGGCCAGCTGTGTCTTTTGTAGTTCAAGCCAGTGTTTTGTAAGCCTGTAAATAACAGTCATGCGTTTTCAGTCCACATTCTTAGGGTATGAACTCTTTTCTGCTTCAAGTCACAGTGGACACCACTTAATGTGATATACTCCCTGAAGTCTTTGATATTCTGAAGTATGGTTTCACAGAAGGTATGCTTCCAAATTCTTCCAGCAGCAACTTCACTGAGGAAAACACCTGTGAAACAGACCAAAGGGCATCTTCAAAAGGAAGCTATGCAACAAAAACCATAGGCTTTTGCTGAAGCTGCAACTTTTGTTTCTCATTTACTTTGTAGTATAAACAAAGTTGAAACAATGTTTTTTTTTTTAATAAGGATCATTAATCTCTCACCAAGTATGTGGAGGAGAAGGGTGAGTTTTCTGGGACAAGGATTACTCTTCAGTGCAAGTTTTACACAAATTAATCTTCAGTCCTAACCTTAAAACAACCATATAACAAAAAAAGATGCTTTTCTTGGACATCATCCATTAATCTGGCCAGGAACCTAAACTACATGGAATTTAGGAAGCATTAGTCTATCTAATTGGAAGGTAGATATTTAAGTGCTAACTTGTAATTTGGATAGTAACTTTGCTGCATGAAAGCACTGGGTCACACAAAAAAAAAGGCTGGGGTTTTGTGGTTTTTTTTCCCCCCCTTTGTAAATGAAGATGCAGAGCAAGCTGAAGGAGCAGTATACATAAGCATGTTTTTCAAACTCTAAGCCTGATCTTGCATTGCCAGCTAGGAAGGGTAATGTCTGCTCCTATGCAAACAAGAAATTTTACATTCTGGTCACAAAACTTCTGTGATGTCTTCAGACAGTCGTTTGTCATCAGGGTGACACTGTCACAGGGTGCACTATCATGCTATCCCAGCGTCAGTGAAGGCGTCATACTGCAAGCAGTGGAATATGATTAGTGGTACCACTTCAGTGTATCCCAGGGGTGGAGCAGAGCCAACCTGGGCAAGCGACAAAGGAGAAAGAGCAGAGCATAACACCTGGAGACCTAAGCCAAAGAATACTGATACCAAGTTGTTTGTTGTCCGTAAGACTTCTGGCAACTTGTACTAGTGCCGTGTTCAACTCTTTGGGACCGCTTCATGGTGTTCCTCTGTAAATCAGCACATAGGCTGCAGAACTTTCAGGAAAAAAAATCAGATAAAAGTACTTGTATGAAGGCAATAGCTTAGGAAAGCTTTTGAAATCAGAGACCTTAAAGACCATTGCAATTCACATTTAAAGAACCCTGTAGCACCTCCAACAGCCCAGTTGCTTTGGGGAGGATTCACTAGGGTGCTCTCTAACAGCTTTGCCCTTGTCCTCCCTACTTCCCAGCTCAGCTGGCCCAGATCAAAGCCCCCTGATGCCTCTGGTCTCACATAGACAATGAAAAAGGCTGTTCCAGACACTTCAGTCTAAGTCAAAGCAAGATGTTAATGTTCGGGCACACCAAAAATGCCAAAACCAACCCGAGCTTCTGAAACTGGCTGGCAACTCACTGACCTGCTTAAAAACTTGACTTTTACAGGATAAATTAAATTCCTTGTCATTTTTGTATATTTCAGTAGGTAAGAACCAATGATACCAAAAATGAATCTCCATCCCCTCCACAGTCTCAGGGTTGTTTTGAAATTGGGTGGAATAACAATATAGAGCTCTGGGGCTTTATAACGTCACGTCATTCCCATCTCTTCAGCCATCACAAGTCCTGTCAAGTAAAATTCTGAGTCATTATATCAGGTTCTCTATGGTTCATTGAGAAAGAACAAAGGGAACATTCTCTCCAAGGTTATAATACTGACAGGGGGAAAAAATAGTATCTAAGAACCAGTTGAGAAGTATTTGGAAAAGTTCTAACAGCAGGACTATTATTAAAATACGTACGGGCTATAAGTCATAGAAGTGCAGTCAGAACAAAAGCCCTGCCTCTAACTTCAGTTCTTAAAGAAAACAAGAGTTTGATCCCAGAAGGAAATTTAAATATTCCCAAAAAGCCTGATAGCAATCTTTAAAAAGCCATATTTGATATCAAAGTAACTTAGTTTTCTTTTCTCTGTAAGGTGCTGATTTGATTTCCCATCGGGCACTTAAGGAAAAAAAAAAACAAAAAAAACCAACCACACAAAACCACCAAACCCACCAAAAAACCCTCCAGTACTGTACAGTCCCTCTTTTTCAGAACACATTAGAGGGCTGTGCATCCTTAGATTTCACCCAGAAACATTTTAACAGCGAGACACAGTTTGTCCTTACCGAAACACATTTGCAAAATCTCCATAGCAAAAATGCACAATGGAATCAATTCAAAATTCTCCCTGCGGTTGAACAAGAATCACCTAGGATGCCCTGGGCTTCGGAAAGCTTCAGAAGTAAATTCAAACTGTTATTTCCCTATCTCTGCTTAGGCTGAAATGTATATTCTTGGTTCAAGGCGCCTCAGCACCCTTAACACAGAACAGGCATGGAATCAAGCAGCTGAACGTAGAAAAATACGTCAACTGACTTCAAAGTAACATAAATTTTTTGTATTACATTGACTCTTACACTGTTAGGAGGCAAGAGGGAATACAGAAGAGCATTCTGCAACTGTCCCTTGGACACACTGTGTATTTGATTGAAATCAATGCAACTGACACAACAACCAACAGTATTATTTACATCAGTGGATAAAATCATTGAAGCTAGTAATTAAAGTGATTTATTGGCTTATTTGCAACAATAAAAGACACAGTAATGTGACCTATGTTATTAAGAGGCTAATAATGAATAACTCATTTTTATGCTTAGGAGGGGGGAGGAGGGGTCAAATAGTTAGCAATTATCAGTATTTCCTCTTTGAACATCATGTCTTAATCATTTCCTATTAAAAATCAAAGTTAAAAGAATGGATTCTACCTACTGAAGAAGATCCAAGGATGAATCACAAAAGGCCACACCCTGCAAAAACTGAGAATACATTAGAAAAACTGGGCATTTGAGCTGTGGGTGTCAAATCTTCAAGCGCTTGCTTATGTTTTACCCCAAATGCTTCTTGATGTTTAGTCAAGAAACTCCTGAATCTTTCAAGTACATTTACAGAGCACAGAGTGAAAGTGATAAATGTATTTAGGTTTTGCATGTCCTTCTGGGCCCAAACTTTAATTACTCTAATAACACTTTAATTAAAAACACATATTTCATAATTCGCATGACCTGGCTGCAACTGTATCTGCTGATAGCAGGTATGCAATGGCACCTAATTATAAAGGCATATTTAGGGGCTTTGTTGCATTTTACTTATTCCAGGAACTACACTTTATATCTTGCTGATAACCAGCACATTGATTAGCAAAGTCTGATGCAGTTTGTGTTGCCTTGCCTAAATCCACATTCACCTTCTCCCCAAACGGCAATCTAATTTCCCACTAATAACTATCACTTTACAACATTTTGAGGACTTACAACTGGTACAACAGGAATAAGATTTCATCATTTTCTGACAAGTTTTTCCACCAGAAATACTGGTTCAATGAAATTAAACTATTTTAGGAATATATTACTATCATTTACTTTAGAGAAGAACCTCAAAAAGTTTTGTTAAAGTTGAAACGAGATAGTTTACGAGATACTCCAAAATCTCTAGTTTGCTTTCTGATTACCAATTGAAATGAGGTTTCAATCATTTTGAATTGCCCACAACTCAGGAATTCCCTTTTTCTTTTTTTTTTTTTTTTGGAAGAGGAGGGGGCATAGGGGTGGTAAAGCAGCCCTACAATAAGATTAACTGAAAAAAAAAAATAGCAAAGTCGTTTCATTTACATGTAGCAAGTCTCCTACCTATATTATCTGTTTGTACAAGCCTAAGTTTAATTCTTAACTCAGTTGATGAACAGGCATCCCCTCTCTTTCCTCAAAATTCTTCACGGAAA